ACGGTGAAGCGCAAGAAATGTTGCAGTGTCCTAGGCTGGATATACGTCGAGGTGAACTTTGCGAAAAGACGATGAAAAATATTGCATTGGGCAGTCGTCTTTCTTCCCATCTAACTCTCACCAGTGAGAACGAACGTGTGTATAATTTAAGGAATTTTAAACAATTCGCTTCTTTTAAATGTAGAACTGATAGATTTGGTAATAGTTTTTCCCCCAGCATGATTAGTGTTTTAAACAAATAATTGTTCTTAGTTATAAGTTCTTAGTTAATAATCTAATGATATATTGTAATATAGTTACTTTTAGTATTGTGATTCCCATTCAAATCAATTGTAAAACACATTGTAATTCATTTTCATGCGATGATGTGTTATTAAAATACCATTATTATTATTATTATTATATGTTGTTGTAGAAATTGTTAAAATGTTAAATTTTTAGGCATTCCATGGTGCAGATGACGATTCTGTAAATAATTGTATTGGGTCACTTAAGGATCTCAATGTCACAAGCAGAAGGTAAATTAATGAATTGTGTTTTTGGTTCAGTGGACAAATAATTAAGGGATGTCATCTTTTTCAGGTACTTAGGTCATTAGGAAAGAGCACTCACCAAAAATAACACTCACTGTTCATTTAAATATATAACTAAAAATTAAACCTGAACACAGCTGTTATAGGATTCAAATGTATGTATGTACATGTAGGATAATATAAATATTGAGTAAATATCAAGATTATGTTGACATCTCACTCGATAAAATAACAGTTGAAGTTTTAATTGGAAATCATTTGAGTGTAAATTTTACTCCTGCCAGGGACCAATACTGTAGTTGCACTTTTTTGTAGCTGTTCGTGGTTAACATCTTTATTAATACAATTAAGCTCACTGAGTCTCACACTGAATGATTGGAGCTAGGTTCAATCTGAGCTTCCCTTGAGTGTTGATGCTATTTTTGAATAGCTGGAGGGTGAGTTAAGTCACATTAGTACGGTAGTCAGCACTAACCCTCCAATTATTCAAAAACAACATTGAAACTCAAGGGAAGCTCAGATTGAACCTCCACTCCTCAGATTGACTTATAGCGGATATAATCAGTATGGAATTAATAAATTTTTGCATTATGAATGAATAGTGTAGATATTTTTTGAATGCTTTTTTTGTTGACGCGTGTATGGATTTCCTAACAGGTCTTCTCAATCAAGTACATCTGAGGGCAGCATTTCTTCATCAAAATCATCCCAACCGAAATCTAAGCAATGTGAGGTATTGTTTGGCCTTATATGGCCTAGCTAGCCTTCTAACAAGTCAAATCTATAGGGTCTAGCTGGTACAGTATATACTATCCACTGGGAAACTTTTAAAATCTGGTATTTTAACAACACAATATTTGGCACTTTTAAAAAGACATATTGAATCATTTGAAGATAAAAGGCATGACTTAATAAGATTCCCAAAGCAAGGTTCAAAGTTGCTGTGTACAAGTTGTTCCAACAAGACTAATACATTTAGCTGTTCGTAACAGGTTGGTTACTGTAGGAACTTGTTAATATCAACAACGTGTCACGTTCAGACGATATCAGACTTGTTGGAACAATTTGTTGCGAGTCTATTGGCATTACAAGATGATAACAACTTGGTCAACAACTGGAAATCAGCAGTGCGAACACATCTTCTTGACAAGCTTTGAGATTTTAAAAGCGTGTATTAGAGCAAAGTTTTTATTTTATTATTAGAATTTTGAGGTTGAGAAAAGACAAAATTAGGCCCGAAAACAATATCATACGTGATTCAAACATAAATTAAAACAATTTCAACTCACAATTTGAAAAGCGCGCGAAAATTCTTGACTGAGCCCACGATGGCGTTGAGTGACTACTCAACGGCATTTTTCTCTCCAATTTCTGGTCGCGACTGTACCGTAGTGCGTAATGTAAAAAAAACCCACCTATCGGCCATAACCTTCATATCATTTGTTTTATTCAATGAATTAACGGTTTTTTGCAGGCTTGTCGGTCAATTCCAGCAGACCATCCAGGATTTCTAAGCATAGATAAACATGCTCATGTTTCATACACAAGCCGTCGTAATCCTGCTCATCAAGATATCTATAGTGTTGTCAGACAAGCGTGTGTGCGAAGGTATGGTGTATAACAGCCAAGGTTTTCAAAAGAAGCGATTTTCCCCGTCTATAGCGTACTAGACAATCGCCGGTTATCGACATTAGGTACCGGTCATTATTTATGGTTTGGGGTCGAAGAGAAATGTTTGTCCTGGTAAAAATTTTGATTATCCAACCATTAAAAAGTCAGATTTTTTATACCCAACCTCAAATACCAATTAAAAAATAAATACCCACCCTTGGCGAAACTTTGCAAAAGGGTAGCATTCAGTTGTTACACATGTCCTTTACCACTTCTGTGACACAAGTTTGATAACCATTTGCGTAATTTTCTGCATTGTGAAGTTTCATGTTGTCTGCGCAATCATGTACTTTCTTTGGAGACACCATTTGCCTCCTCACAAATCGGAAAATGATCAAGATTGATTCACATATTGTATCGACATATGACTGTTGACATTGCTTTTTGACATTCCCAATATTTGCGTGAGTCATGCTTTGGAAATGACAATAATTTTTTATTACGCAATCTTTGAGTTGTTTTGCTTTTCATTTACCCAACCTATCACTCAAAATTTTGTTTACCCAACCTTTTTCTCTTCTGTACCACCCCCGCCATAAATGTAGACCGATCCCTTATAACCCAGAATATCGTTATCACTGACACAAGAAATGGCAACGGAAACGATTGTTGTGTTTATGTAGCATACAGTTTACACAATATTCGTCGTTGAAGATTTGGATAATATGAGAAGATCTCCAAATATATTGAAATTTCATAGGGTCTAAATTTCAAAATCTTCACAGGGAGACTCCGTCGCCGCATCCTCTCTGTTAAGGCTAGTTTCCACTCAGGAAAATTATCCGTGGATTGGAACGGACAAAGAAACTTTTTCTTTGTCTTGTGAGCTCTGGGTTGGAACTAATGACTTTAACACAAAGAAAAATTGTCTTGTCCGTTCCAATCCACGGATAATTTTCCTGAGTGGAAACTAGCCTTTAGTGGATGCATGGAACCGCCAGCACCACATACAATCGCTGCCTACTTTTTTCAAAAAGCTTCCTGCTCAAAATTCTAGTCAAACAGAAAAAAATCTAGTCAAACATGAAAACCAGTATCGCGCGCGTGGCAAACACTCTCTCAACTTTCATCAAAATTTTGAACCAGCTCAATGTTTATGTGAATGAATTAGAGTCGATGAAACTTGACGGTTAAATGCGAACGAGAATTACAACTGTCATCAACTTTCATTACTTCTTTGCATTTTTAGCTTAAGTTGCGAGATATGCCCTGGCCGAGAAGGACCGATATTTTTCGGAGAAGACGCCAATGGCTATGTTTTGAGTCACACATTCTTTCTTAAAGATTCCCAAGCCAGAGGTCTTCAACGCTGGTACGTAAAGTATAATATATGTTACAAGGCCGAATTTTTGTGGAAATGGTGGGGGAGATGAAGAAAAAGATTTAGGGGAGGTGCAGCGATCTAGCTCACGGTCCTCATGGAAAGTTAGGGCTTGGAGCGTTACCCTTAAATTCGACCACGTGACGTATGCACATACTGTACATATGTATCAGTGTATTTATGAATTATGACTGTACGACCTATCCAATTTTTCCCTTCATTAATGCAGAATTTCTTTCATGACCTTGCATTGAAAGGGTATTTGACACAGAGATGAATATAGCTATCAATTTTACATAAAAACATTCTTAGAAGGTGTAGACTCTAAGCAGCACATGAAAATTTTGTCAAATTTGTTGGCTCAATCAACAATGTTCGTGCGATTTTTTGTTTTGATTTTTTTAAAGGCTCAAATACTAGGTTTAAATATCTTTAGCATTTTCGTAACCTTAAAGATGCTGTGCAGTTCGTAAAGTAAACAAACGCTTTATTTACATTATGAACTGCTATATTTGTAATATATAATATACCAATTGAATATCTAACACTTTTCGGGTTCGCTATGCTTGTTAATGAATATAAATCCTACGTTTCGATTCAAAAAAGTTCGAAAGATGAAAAATTTGGGCAATGTTTATATCTGCGGTCCCCCTTTGTTATGAGCAGAACTGATGCGCAGAACGTACTTTACGACATCTTTAAATTTTCATGACCGATAAATAAACAATTTTGCTGACCATATCCTGAAATAATTCAGTAGTTCGCCTTGATCATTATTATTTTGTACACGTCAGCATGTACAACTCACGCATGCTCGGTTAGGATGGGCTAGCCTGTCATCGTTATCAATCTGTAGCCCATTGCGTTCTCTGCGTTATATTTCCAAAAATTCAGTATTACGCGTCACAATAGATCCTTCCAAGATTAACAACGCCATAGTGTTTCAATAGTGCAAGGGGCGCAAACACAATGGAATTCTCTATAGGTAAATTTGCAAGGAGTGCAAACACAATGGTGAAAACATTATATTCAAAATGGCGTCCTTAACCTTGGAAGGGCCTATTCGAAAAAGTCCTCATTTTCTTGAGCAGTTAACAAAAAAATTCACTATTCCTTGAAGCAACTAAAGTTTTTTAAATAAGTTTTCAGACACATGCACCGAACTCTTCGCCTTCGATTTATAGTAGCAGGGAGTGGGGAGATTTTCGAACAATTTGTGGCAGATAAGAAAATATATAATTACTGTATCTTTCACAATTGAGTGAGCATTCATTTCCTCTATAGGTACAGCATTATAATTGTTATGATGGACCGAATTTACCTCATCAATTCGTGGCTATTTCTTGTCAAGTAAGCAAATAATTTGAAACTGGTATAATTGTACTGGTCTTTTTTCGTTTTAAAATTGCTTTACGAAATTGAGACCAGTGGCTGGTTTCGTATATCTTATGAAACAAAATTGTTTTTATGCATGTTGGAATAACTTTTTAGACATTTCAAAGAAATTATTGACAAGCAGCAAAAAATGGTGAGTTGTCTTTCTATTTAACTAAGTTGTTTTGTTTTGTCCATGGCATAGATAGAAAATTACGCATGACCTGATACTGTATGCATGGCTTCAATTTTCCAAAGGCATGGTATACAGTACATGCAGTAATGTAGTACACGTTATATGCAGTATCATGTAAGATTTTAAGTGCTAGAGATGTGGAGCTTTGATTTAACAATGATTATATTTGAAAACGAAAATTGCAGGAAATAATGTCTGCTTTTTGTAACGGAAATGCGCATTTTCATTGTTATGTGAGAGAGCATTGAAACATACTCCCCTTGAACTTCAGAAAACTGTTATACAAGAGAAAAAATTTCAGACGCTAATTAAATGTTGAAATGTATTGTTGGCGAGCTATTCTCTTGAATAAGTACGACATGTATGCGACGTATGATGGAGGGTGCATGGGA